TTTTAAATTAAATTAGAACAGATAAAGATTGAATAATTCTATGTTTGAATATAAGTTTGTTATCGTACCTTTTATAATCAGTTATATTTATTCTTTAAACAGGTGGTTTGATATACTATCTCACGTTTCCCAGAGCACTGTGCATGGGAAGGTCAAACGTTTTGCTAAAATGTCAGGACATAAACAAGTTGTTGTAACACCACCAGTTTCTCAGGTTATTATATTTTTTTATTTATGAGCCTGAAATTAAAATATAAAATTGTAAAGGGTATGTTTAGGGTTGTGGGTGTTCCTTCATACATTCAGTTTTGTTTTTCATGATAAAGAGAAGGCACCTATCCACTTTTTTACCAATAGATGATCTCCAAATTATTCATTGGATGAGTTCCTGATGTTTAGTAGTTTCAGATGTAAAAATGTACCTTACCAGCATGTTCTATGAGGCTAATCTTTTAGCTAAGTTGACAGAACTCATGGGTTCAGTCCTGCCTGCTGGAAATGCAAAATTTTGATTACCAAACATGGTGTTTGCTGTTTTTCTAGCTAGTTGATAGCTTCATCTTCAAATGTTTTTTGTTTGCACTTTTCTACGTAAAGAATAATTTTGAGTTACAAAAATTAGTGTATCTGTGTCAGTTTCATAAATTAATATCTATTAGATTGTTTTATAACTTTCATACAAAGATGCCCCCCAGTGTCACAGTGGTATGTCTACAGACATACAACGTTAGAAACTTGGATTCGATACCCTTGGTGAGCAGAGCACAGATAGCCCAGTGTGTAACTTTGTGCTTAACTTCAAACAATCATACAAAGATAATGAATACATTTTTGTAGAATAATTTAATTGATGTACTACTTCATTCAGCTTTTAGTTTTTGTTGTGAAACTACAAACCAACATTCACAACTAGCAGAATGCATCAAGGCTTGTATGCTATCAGAATTACAGTATTTTGACCTTATTTTATGTAATTATTTTTTTATTCCAGAATTTTTGTAGTTGTTAGAATTCTTTAAATTAATATAAAAGAAAAATTTATATTAATTTTAGATGCTGCTATTCATAGTACCACAACTTTCTAACAAGACTGTGTGTACGTGTGACCTAATGTTACTGTAATGTTATGTTTAGAAATATTGTATATCTGGACACCATCGGTGTTATTGAAGTGTCAAGAACAAGAGGAATGTTAAAGATGTTAATGTTTTGTTCTCTTCGTTTTTTTATATATCTTAATTTTTAGAAGAATGTGAATGTCTTTTTTTTCCACATTTCTTTCAATAAATGCAAACAATTGTAAACAGTAATTTCTTCAGCATGAAAAGGCATTTAGTATTTAGGAAAACCTTTTGATTATTTATTTTTCGTACTTTAATAGTATTATATGACCGCTTTAGATTTTGATTTTTTTTTATTAAGCAACTTAATGCCAGCCTAATTAAATGTTTTTTTGAATAAGGAAAAAGTGATATTATAATATATCTGTTTTCTTTTTTTCTTTTAGAATCTCCAAGTCGCTGACCGTTCCAATGCACCTATTCGTTCTCACTTCAAGAGCTTCACACGTAGAAATACAACTCCCACCACTGCTTCTCAGTCTTTCATAGCTCATACATCACAGTCTAAAACATCTCGTGTGAATCAATCCTCACACCCATTGATAGTTTCTTTGGATTTGCCAGAGACAACTTCTTCAGTACAATTTTTACAGTTGCAAGCACCATCTGTTAACCAGTTGGCAAAAACACCATCTGTCATTCATTTTTCACAAATTAACACATTTCCTGACCAAATGTCACAACCAGAAAAGTCCATGAAAAACCAGTCTTCCATATCAACACACTTACAGTATTCATTGCCAACAGAGAATCCCTCCACAACAAAACCAAATGTCTCGATCCAGTTGTCACATTTACAGGCAACTTCATATAATTCATTACCATCACAAGTATCTCCTTTGCATTATCCCTTGCATTCTTTCTCCCCAAATGTAAGCAACATAGGTGTGATTAGGCCACATTACGACAAAGTAATGACTTCTGACAACCCAGAGAATAGAAGTCTCGAGATAATAAGAGACCAGCTGAACCAAAACCAGGAAACTGCAGTTCCAGTCAAACCATGTAAAAACCAGAATTTATTTACTCTAATCACAAGAAAGTATTCGAAGAACATGACCTATGATTGTACTTGTTTGAATTACATTATTCAGTGTGAATGTCAGATAAATAAAATCCATATTTAGAAAATGTACCTAAGTAAACACACATAATTCCAGATTGAAAATGAAACATATCCAATAACTAGGTGAAAAATTTTAATTTTAAGGTTAAATTTTTCTATTTTCAAATCTTTTTGAACTTTTATTACCCTACATACCACACAACAAAGTATCATCAAAAATTGATTCTTGAAAGGAATACATTAAATGTAACATTAGAATATATTACCCTACGTACCACACAACAAAGTATCATCAAAGATTGATTCTTGGAAGGAATACATTAATTGTAATATTAGAATATATTACCCTACATACCACACAACAAAGTATCATCAAAGATTGATTCTTGGAAGGAATACATTAATTGTAATATTAGAATATATTACCC